AATTTTATCTCCTTCCATTTTGAAATTCTACTTTTTCATTCTATGGGGCTTAGAATAAATAAAATGCCATATATACCTTCCTTATATTCCCTAGTTTCTATACAGCTAAGTTTTTATAAATGGGAGAAAAAATTTCTCCCCTTTATTGACCTCTTCATATCATTTTGAAACAAGAACTTTGGAATAACAGTCTTTAAATTTTCAGGAGTCATCAATTGCAAAGTGGATTGTCTGACTTAACCACTTTCTTGGGATGGGGAAAACTATAAATACTAAATGAAAAGTGCATAATGTTGTAGACCACATCCTGATTTCAGAAACATTAAAAAAGTGAAAAAGTCATGCATCTAAGAATTGGCGAAATAAACTCTCCTAGTTTAGAACTCAATCCAGTACTCTATCCCTTTCCTGAGATGTCCTCAGTGAGGGACTCTTAGGGAATTTGTAAAATATCATACCATCTGCTAATATTTTAGAAGCAAAGTATTCATGTTATGTATTTATCTCTAAACTTAAAACAGGATATAAGATTTCCAATTGCGAAAGGACTTATTTGAAAGGGCATGCCCATTTCCCAGGCACTTTAAAAACACATTCAAACTGAAGCAAATGTGATCTCAAGCAGCCACATGCAACAATTCCCGCACAATCCGTTTTAGGAAGTTCTAAAACAGGAGAGGCTTTCCACAGCAAGACACAGCAATCTCTGGTTTTAGTTTGAATACCACTGCAGGTGTTTTTACTTTTGGTTTACATTAAATTGCACCTTGGAGACATTAACACATGTTTTCAGCTGCCTGGCAGCAGTGGTATATTTTATTTAAATCCAGAAAATAATATGAGAAACACATTTACATAATTTATTATATTTAACAATCTTAAGCGGTCCCAGATTCTGACTTTCACCATGGCAATTCATTGACACTGCATCATTCCACCTTGTAATTAAGTAAAGTGATTTACAGCCGCACAGTCACTTGTTACAGTAACTCTATTCCTGCTGTATAATCGTGGATGCCTCCTCCTACTTGGTTCCTGCCTATTTTATGAGCTTCTTCCACAGCCTTTCTCTTTACTTTATGTGAAATCTTCACAATAAGTTCATATTTTGCTTGATTTACCTGTTATTCGTGTCTATTATTTGCAAACAAAACTCCCAATTAATACTTAATTTCCTTTGAAAGCGCTATGTAAAATGGAGACTCACAGTAATTTTGGAACTTTTACATTTACATATAGCAAAATTATAGTGATATACTAGATTTGTATCTTTTTCTGTTTTGCAACCCAGAATATTTGTTGAGTTTGAGCTACCATTAAGCTGTACTGCAAATGTGATGTTTTAAGTTCCTCGGCAAAAATCAAAACTTGATTAAGCAGATCTATTTATTAAGAAAGATTTTCTGTTACTATTAGATTTGAGTTTGAGTTTGATAATAAAGGCAATGGGAAATAGTAAATGACATTTTTAGGCAGGGCTGACACATTTACAAGCTGGGTTCCTAAGAAGATGGTAGGGACATTTGTTTTAAGCTACCCCAAATTTGTACAGCATCCAATAGGGAGGCATTTCCTAAGCAGGTAGTAAGCAAGGTCTGCCTTACATTTAGAAAAGCCAAAATAGATGGATATGTTTTCTGCCCACATTGTGATAAGCAGTGGCATTAGCATTAGACATAAGTTTGGTTACTTGGATGTTCCTCTCTGCTATTCTGAATCCTAAGGGAGTGATAGAATTACATGATTGTGTAAGATAGGGTGGGCAGAAAGATCTAAGAGTGGTGTGAAGAGAGCAGAAGGACTGGTGCTAAAAGTGTATAACTGAAAAACCCAGGAGTACGCTAGCTTCAGGCAAGGCTGTATGGAGGGAGGCAGGGCCCAGGAACGTCACCAGGATTCAGCATTTCTCTCTCCACGCTCAGTGCTCTTTTTCTATATTAGATCTATTCTCAGATAAGTTCTGACTTAGTAACGACCCTCAGCACCTTTTCCTCAATAATTCTTGAAAATAAAAGATTTATATTTGAGTTTCATCAGCAGTGTTTATGTTACTTTACCAAATCTGGAGCGAGACTCTGATCAGCTGGGCTTGAGTCGTATCCTTTGTGTTGATATGGTGGTAGAGTGAGTGTCACACAAGCCGCCTGGAATACAGCATGGAAAATATTTCTCACAAGGAAAATCAGGGTATGATTATTAGAAGAAGGGATAGCAGAACTGTGGCAGGCAGAAAGTATAGACATTTAAACATTTGATGACTCTTTGAATCTACTTTTCTTTCTGTCCACTCAAGTGATGCATGATCATAATTGGGTTCTGGCATTTTGGGTGTAATTACATGTTTAAATTGTTATTCTAGATCTTGTAAAAGCGTCATTAGGTTTTTAAGGATGCAATCCATTGTTTGGAGGGTAGATGAAGTGATACAAGTCTGATTACAAAACTGCAAAGACTATGTTCTTAGTGCCTAAATGATATCAAGCATATCATAACTCTTTATGGAATTAAAGAAAAAGTCTGATCACTAATATTGAGTGGAAAGGTTAAATCAGTGAATTATCTGGGAACCAGAATTCCCTATTCAGTGTCGTCCATCCATGTTTCTGAGGAACATGCCATCTAAGAAGAAACTCAGTTGGGCCTTGACAAGTCTCCCTTATGTCCCACAATTGGCCCCATTGTGGGCAATTATAATTAATTTTTCCCAGTTCTGGATATATTTCAAAATAGTGAAATACACAAATTCTTAAGCTCTGGAAATGACATTTCGCTTAATGGAAACATATTGCCTTATACAGTTGCCCAGAATTACCAACTGCCAACTGCCGGAGCAGACTGTGCACACACAATATAATCGCTGCTCATTTTTGTGTGTCTGCACGGATATCCACCTCGAGGAGTAGCAGTCTTCCCCGTGCCGATCCAGGTGCATCGTCCAAGTCCATCGTAAACGTTTCCAGTGAAATAACGTTCTATTCACTGCTTTATCACCTTAGAACTGAACAGAAAGAACAAAGAACAGAATGAAAATAGAAAGAAAGAGAAAAGAAAGAAAGGGGAAAAAACTTTAAGTGAAAATACAAATTTTAGGTAGTACAGAGAACATACATCAATTTTTAAATATTTTATTAACTTTATTATCATTTCTAATAAAGTTACTCAGATGTGGATGGTTTGTGTTGGCACACAAATCCTCATATCAGATGTACTTCACTCATCTTTTTCAATTTTATTTATTTATCTTAATTTTGTTTTTTACACATGTTAACTTTTTATTTGAAATAATTTTTGATATATAAAAGTGCATAGCAAATTAATACAAAATATTCTTGTGTATCTTTACCCCACACCTGTAATGTAACATCATACAGAGTCATAATACAATTATAGAACCAAAAAATTAACGTTAATACAATACTATTAAGCAAACTATAGACCTTATTTGAGTTTTACCAGTCTTTCCACTAAAACACTATAACAATTAAAAAGGTTAAAGAATTTAATTATCAGATATCTAGAGGTAGTGAAGCTATCTCTATGTACAAAAACAGTAGGAGAAATCAAAAAAGGAAAAATAGACCATGCTATTAGAAAAAAATTTAAGATTGCATATGTCAAAAATATCACAAATAGGCATGAACAGAAGGAAAACTAGGGTATTTTTAAACATACAATCTGAGCAACACTGCAGTTAGAACATCTGTATGTTCCCCTTATTGTAGTTTAGAAGCTTTTAAATATAGTCATAATGTACATTAAATTCTCTTTAAAAATCCTAATTTTGTGCTTTGTGTTATGATGAGTACAAATATTTGTAAAAACACATTACTTCAGTGAATCAAGATAACTCCTCATTTGTGTAAAACATTTCATGGTATTGAAAATCTAAAAGAGCTTTTTAGAATTTCAACTCTTAGCTAAAGAGGAAAAATTAAACATAGCTTCTTTCAAACAGGCAGCTGTACCCTCTCTCTCCATGACAGGAAAATAAAATAGGAAACGATGTTCAAAATCAGGTGGGAATTGTGAGCGAAGAACTCTTAAATTCGATGCATTCATTCCTTCAGTGATTCATTCACTCTACATAGTTTGGTTCAGTTTGCTGATGGTGCTCATCAAAGTGACTCTCTTTAGAGTCATTATGTATGAGATGTGCTTTATCATCGCATTGTTTGCTCCTGGAGAGACAGGAAGAGGTCTAAATCCTGTGGGCTTTACAAAGTTTCCTGCTCTCCCTTAACCTGCCTGTCTGAAAGTCCCTCAGTTACTGGGACAGAGACAGAAAAGCCTGAGTATACTGAGGCCGATATAAGTGACCAGCTGTCATGGTTGAGATTCAGATGACTAAAAACCCATGGCCTCCATGTCAGAAGTAACAAGCATTTGTCAATGAATCTAGGTCAGTTGTGATAGGTTCAAAGGGTTAACATATCTGTCTGTACTCAAGCCCAGCAGAGAGAGTACACTCATGAGGCCTTGAAGAAGAAATGGCTTCTGGGCACCAAGAAGCCCTTGGAGTGCAATGCACAGGGGTCAGGAATGTAAGCGGACACGACACTATGGTCTTTAAAGGGGAGGCAGACCCTGATGAGTCCGTGACTACAGAACACTAGGGTCCAAGTTGACCAGCATCCGGATGAGAGTAGAAATGAATGCTTGCTGTTTTAGAGGGGTGGTTTCAGAAATTGGCATCAATTGCAGTTTATAAAATGTTTATAAAATAACATATATAAATAAAATAAAATAGAGTTAAATGTAAGGCCAAATAAAGTTCCACCTTTTTAAATGAATGTGCTAATGCTAATACATCAAGATTTTAATTGAATAAAAGAAAGATTCTTTTACATTGCAGATTCTACTCAATTTATACGAATCCATTACATCTCATATTATGCAGGACTTACCTGTGAACAAAACATAGAGAAATGCTGTTGACATATTTAAGAAAGTTATTAATATTTTATCACTTCTTAGTAGTAAAACTATGTTTCCTTTCTCAGAATAAAAGCTTGAAAAACAAACTCTTGTCAGGAAACAAACTGTGTGGCATCCATGCAGAAGAGGTGAGTAAATGTTCTCTTCTTCTAGCTTCAACTGAATAGAAACAATATTAGTGCCAGAATTTTTTTTTTTTAACCCAGACATCTGGTGACTTTGTTATTCCCTCTAACATAAATGCAAACATTGGAATAAGAAAATGAAAATATGTTTTAAACTTTTAGGTATTTTTGGATGTTTTAACATTGCATATCCAAAAAGAAAAAGTAAGCCAGTTAAGAGTTACTTTTCTAAAATGATTTTCTGGATTCCTTCCTTAACCTGATTATGGGGATTTTCTTAACAGCAAATGCCTGGAGGTCCATGAAATTTTCATTTTTTGTACCATCTATGCGATGTCTACAAAGTTTGGCAATGACAATCGACTGTCAGAATGAGGATTCTGGAGTCGACCATAAACCTTAAGAAACAAATACATTCATTGGTTCTACTTGCTGGGCTAAAAAATTGTCTCATGCATTTTTTAGGATGAAAAAAAGTCATTCTGGTTAATTCAGGTTTAACTAAAATCAATTTCCTGTACTCCTGATCTCTCAGATCTATCTGTACTTTATGATCGCCTACTTAATGTTGTAGCTCATAGTCAGTAATTCTTAGGGATAGCAATGAGGTAGTAGAGACAGTGTGGTGGTAAGTGATTATACCTCAAGGAGAGGAGACAAGTTACTGTGTTAGTTGGATCCTCCAAGAAGCACACACAAAGGTGGGATTAGTTGTGCAGGGAATTTGCTAATGGAAAAGCCTGTGAATGATAAGGAACAGGCATGAGAGTCTTCATACCACAATGCGGATCTGACCCCGTGAATGAAAGGGGAAGGAAAGAGATTTGAATAGAACAAGAGCAGTTTACCCCTTGTTCCATAGCAGTCTAGAAGTAAGGCACAGAGCTGGTGAAATACCTCTCTCATCTCCTAAACGTGGAGCCATTTTTCTTTACAAAAACCTTTTTGTGTTACTGTCACCTTCTAGCAGGAGGGACAGGGAAGATTACCTGGTGACTCATGAGCATTGCTTTTTAGGAACCCCACTAGGAAGTGGAGGCACATATCTCATTATAGCCTATTTGCCAGGGTCACATGCCTACCAACTTGGAGGGAGTCTGGAAAATGTCTTTAGGTTGGTGGTCGTGTGTCCATCCAGAACTTGAGACATCTTTTATTAAAGAAAGTGAGAATCCTCCTTGATGGACATGTAAATTCATTATCATAAATACTGAAGTTAGAGTCACACATGCAATATAATCATCTATTTATAATGTCTTTACAATAACGTTGTGTATGAAATGAATAGAAATCTTCAGTACATAGACACTAAAGGTTGATGCCCCATAAATGAGTAATCAAACTGAATGGCTTGTAGATATGAGCCCATGTAGTGTTTCTTTCATTGTACGTTTCTATTTGGATAGAAATAGGCTCTTATATTGTTTATATTTGCTCAGTTTCTGGAAGTATTACATGTGTAGTGTGCAGTTTCTGGATATTACTTACAGGAGGATAAGCAAGTGGAAGTAAGTTTTGAATAAGGACTATCTGGATTGAAGATCCACTCTGAGGTGGTTGACATGTTCCCAGGGTCCCCACAACACTCACGTACATGAAAGAGAGATGGCTCCCAGGAGAAGGTGTTTAGGAGGGGTTTAGAAACAAACAACAACCTGCATTTTTTAGCCCCTTAGTTCAAGAATGCTTCCTATTAGAAACCTAAGTGCCCGTCAAGGGATGAATGGATAAAGAAGATGTGGTATATATACACAATGGAATACTACTCAGCCATAAGAAACGATGAAATCCAGCCATTTGTGACAACATGGATGGACATTGAGGGTATCATGCAAAGTGAAAAAAGTCAGAGGGAGAGGGTCAAATACCGTATGATCTCACTCATTAAGTAGGAGATGATAACAACAACAAACAAACACATAGAGACAGAGATTGGACTGGTGCTTACCAGAGGGGAAGGAGGGAAGGGAGGAGGGGGAAAGGGATGATTAGGCAAATGTGTGTGGTGATGGATGGTAATTAGTATTTGGGTGGTGACCATCAGAACATGATGTAATCCATGCAGAAATAGAAGTATAATGATGTACACCTGAAATTTATACAACGTTGTAAACCAATGTTACCACAATAAACAAAAAAAGGAAGAATGCTACATATTTTTTATTCTTCTCTATTCCTTAGAGCATATGTTATTTCTGCATTCTTATTTATGAATTCCTAGATGCTTCATATATTAGCATTGTATAATGTTGACTTGAATTGATGTATGTTCATTATAATTTATTCATTTGCCCTATCTCCTTATTTATTTATGGAAAAATTTGGAGTTTAACATTATGGGTGATGAGAGAGACATACATTTTTTTCTGCCATGACAACACTTCAAAACACTATTGTGGCAAACTGAATTATTTGTTTTCCCACTGCCACCACCAAAACAAAATAGCAGTGTCTTCTATTGGTTTAGCAGCTAAAAAGGAGCTTGTCTTCTAGATCAGTGACCCTAAACATTTTGTATTCACAGACGAATAAAACACCCAAGTCCCATCGACACATAATGGATTGCCAGTGTTTTAATTTGCCAAGGCAGAATATTAAAAACATTGGAGGCTAGGGGCTGGCCCTGTGGCCAAATGCTTAAGTTCAGTGAGCTCTGCTTCGGTGGCCAGCGTTCGGTTCCCAGCTATGGACATACACCACTCGTCAGCAGCCATGCTGTGGCAGCAACCCACATACAAAATAGAGGAAGATTGGCAAGGTGTTAGCTCAGAGTGAATCTTTCTCAAGCAAAAAGAGGAAGACTGGCAACAGATGTTAGCTCAGGGCCAATCTTCCTCAGGAAAAAAAGTTGGCATCTACAACAAATATCACTACCATCATCATCACTATCATTTTAAGAAAGAAATTGAATATGAAACTGTAGGAAAGGAAAATATCAGAGCCTAGCTAAAATGTTCTATTGTGGCCACTTTCCTTGTCTTCTTTACCTTCTTCATTTTCTTTTTATTATAATTATAATCATAATCATCATCACAAACTTTAATTTCACTGTGGACTTGTGAAGACTTCATGACTTACAGGCACCAACATTTAGGTTTGCATTTAACATCACTGATATAGTTAAAAGAAAGTTACTAAGGTTCCCAACAGTAGTAATATCTCAATTGTTTGAAGATTACCCCTCCGACAAGTCTAACTTTTCAAAACGATGCTAACATGCTAAAAGAAGACAGTCAAAGAGTCAGTTGGGTGGGTTTCAAGTCAATGTAGATGACAAAATAGAGATGCACTCACTCAAAATGTATTTATTCTTACTTTGCGTACTTTCACCAGATATTTAGAGGGATTTTGCTTTTTAACTCACTGAAAATTAGAAGGCTGGAATGTACAACACATAGAAGTGATGAGTGATGAGGTGATGAAAATTCCTAAAAAATTATTTTTAAATAGCCATAACTAAGCTCAGGAAATCTAGTTGTTCATGTTCACTTAATGCAGAAAAAAGACGTATAGGTTTTATTATAAATGACTCATTGCCTAATAGAAAATTGATATTTTAATAATTAATCCAAATTATGAAGAAAAGTTTAAATTATATTCTTTACATTCAGTATGAGTATGCATTAAAAAAATGAGCACCCAAAATGGTTTAAATAGGTCCTTTCTAACACTTAAATGATAGAGCATCAGTTACGTGGACGAATCGAAGTGAAGTTGGGCAAATTATGCACACCATAGGTAGTAGTAATCTCTCATTTCCCATTGATGTTGGTCACATTAGTTTGGGGAAAAAAAATGAAAATCTGTTTTCCTAAAAGGCTATTCTGGCTACAAGTGAGTCCTGGACAGCAGATTGGAACAGCAGGGAGAAAAAGCCAATCAACCATTCATTTGAAGTTGGAAAAGATAACAGCAGTGGTCCTTAACTGAAATCAGTAGCACAAAATTAAGGATAGTCATGAAAACCAGGAAATGTCTTGAAGATGAAGTTAACGTAATAAGAGAGAGACATGGTGTCTGAAATATTATTTTGGGAAATATTGCATGAGGAAGAGCAGAGTTGTAGTAAATGTAGGGTTCTGAAGTAGAGCTATAAATTCAAGGGGCTGAGGACTCAAGTGTGAGTTTTCATACTTAAGAGCCAGTACCAACCATATACACACAATGATGGCTCTTTGTCTTCTTACGCATTATGTCATTCATTTCACTTTCACTAATCATATGAAGAAAAAGAGGATGCCTTTTTACGGAAATGGAAAAACAGTCACTACTTTGTAAATAGTTATAGTAATTTGTTTGTAACAAATTCTTGCTGCTTCTGGGTATAGAGTTTACTTGTATAATCCCTAATTGTTAATATGTCCCACTCTTTCTCCTTTCCTCCCTCCCTTTCTCTCTCCCGCTCTCCCTGCCCCCTCTCTCTTTCCCTCTGTCTCTTTCTTCCCCCTCTCTCTCCTCTCTCTCTCTCTCATTGCCCCCCTCCTCCCCTCTCTTCCCCTCTCTTCTTCTCTGCTGTCTCCTCTTCTTTCCTTCCTTTCTTATATTTTTCATTTCATTTTTTCTTCGTTTTGTTCTCTCCTATCAACTTCCTGACTCAACAGATCATGAAATGCGGTTGGCTCATGATAGGGATGTCTGTGAAAAACTGGGTTTCTAGCATTAGAGCCTTGTGGTGGTCTAGCATTTACAATACTTTCAAGATTCTCCTCTAGTTGGTGGTGCTTCTGCATTAGACAGTGATTTCGGAATTGTAACACCATCATGACACAGCTTCTCACTGTGCAAATTCTCCTACCGTGCATGGTTAGAAATGTTCTGAAAGTAATAGGAAACTGAATCACAGTACATTTGCAGTTGGTTCAGTGGAAGCCTTAGTCAATATATGCTTGGAAAATTATAATATTTCAAAATCATGAGTGGGCTTTATTTGTTAAAAAGGACTTTCAATTTACTAGGATGTAATAGTCCCCTGAGGGTCTTGTATTTTTTACATACTGTGGCCAGCTACAGTTAAAACTGAATTTTATTGAGATATAATTTACATACAATTCACCTCATTTAAGTATACAGTTTGATGGGTTTGATTAATGTATATATTCAAAATACAAAACATTTCCATCACCCCCAAAGTTTCCTATTGTTATTTTATAATCTCCACCACCAACCCCCAGCCCGTGTCAGCTACTAACCTCATTTCTGTCCTTATCCTTTTGTCGTGTCCTGAATATCACATAAATGGTACTACAAAATTAACTTCTAGTGACTGCATTCTTTCACACAGTATAATAGCTTTTGAAATCCATCCACATCATAAAATGTTTCAGTACTTAATTCATTTTTAAAAATTGCTCAACAGTACTCTAGTATTCCATTTCATGGAAGGACCATAATTTGTTTACTATTCACCAGTTAATGGACATGTGGGGTGTTTCCAACTTTTGACTACTATGAATAAAAATACTATAAACATTTATGTATATATTATAATTTCTCTTGGGTAAATACCTAGAAAAAAATGCTATATAAGGCAGGATGCATATGTTTCACTTTATAAGAAACTATCAAATTGTTTCCCAAAGTGACTATACCATTTTACATTCCCACTCAACTGTTTTTTCAATTATCATTTTTTATGTGACTATAATAATCCACTTGCTTATGTTTTCTTTTTTCTCTTATTAAAGAATCAGAACATGTAATCTTAGATGTAGAAAGACAACTGAGGTCCTTATGTTAGAGTGTTTGAAATTGGATTTGCTCTGGAAAAATGGGAATGCATGATCATATTCTGTGGCTTACCAGAATATATTTCAATGTGGTAGCCAAACGTGTCTGCTGAGAGAGATTTCTCGGCCACTTTCTTTAAATATTACCTTTTAAACAATATGCTTCCTTCAAACAGGCTTAGGTTTTCTTTTCCTGCCTAGAATAGCTGGGAGACTGACTCCCAAAGCAGAGAATAAGCTTTTCTGTTTCACTTCCAAATTACTTGGGCTCTTTCTTGCTTGGCAGCAAAATTTGTTCTTGAAAGAATTTTAATCTTCAAGTTTGAAAATACGGATGAAATTAAGGCACTACTCCATGTTTCTCTCTTGCAGTCAAAAAAAATCCAAGCCCAGCTGAAGGAGCTTCGTTACGGGAAGAAGGATTTATTATTTAAGGTGAGCATCTTTCTCTTCCTCCTCTAACTTGCCAGCTCAATATGTAAACTACCTAAAATATCATTTAGCTTAAATTTAATTTCTGTATTTTCACAAGAATTAGAATTGTGTTTGACTGCATTGAAGATGCTTTCATTTTATTGCCTACTTAATTAATGGAGGTAAATGCAGATATGGTTTCCTGGGTACATTCGTAATCAAAGGCAGTCATCATTCCAAAGTGTTTCAAGTCCCTTTGTAACCTTCAAATACTTTAATTCAACACTGAGGAATATTGTCTTTCAGAACACTTACATTAAGGAGAGCATGTATTGAACAAGTTTCTGGAGATGAGATCCGCTGGTAACCTATACTCTTGACTTTCAGATATCCCTGCATAAATCTCTTTGTTATTAAGAATCTTCGTACTTAATCATTGTTGATTGATTTTGGTTATTGATACTTTTCTTTACAAGACTATCAACTCAAGACCTGTGTATAAGTAGACATCTACCACAAACTATGCATTTGGTGTACTGAGTAATGCCACCCCTCCACTCCCACCCCCTGCCGCCAAAGACATCCAATTGCTAGTCCCTGGAACTTGTGACTGTTATCTTTTATGGCAAAGGATACTTTGCATATGTGATTAAGTTAAGGATCTTGAGATGGAAAGATTATTCCAAATTATCCAGATGGGCCCTAAATATAATTGCACAAGTCCTTATAAGAGTGGGTTAAGAAGGCCTAAATAAGAAGGTTATGCGACCATAGAAGCTGGGGGAGGAAAGACAATGTAAAGAATTTTCCCCTGTAGACTCCAGAAAGAACCAGCCCTGCCAACACCTTGATTTTAGTTCCATAAAATTCATTTCAGATGTCTGACTTCCAGAACTATAGGAGAATAAATTTGTATTGTTTTAAGCCACTTAGTTCATGGTAGTTTACCATAGTAGCAAGAGGAAACTAACACAGATGCTTTCCTTTATCTCCCTTGAGCAGGGGAGATAAAAGGTAGGGGCATCTAATTGTGGTGCTCGTGGTACATCTGCATTGCCAAGTGATTGAATATTAGGCTCTTAGTAGTAGGAATAACAATTTTTTTAGTAAATAATAAGTACTAATTACTTTGTGTGTAATATTTCTTTTTAAAAATATTTTCACCACAATGATCATCCCAATCTATGAATGTCAGGCTTAAATTAAAAAGGGATAGATCCTCATTTTATTAAATGGTTGGAAAATTATGCAATTTTTCCAAAGAAAACAATAAGAAATGACTTTTCTCTTTGGCACCTTTATTTTTGGCTTAGAGTCGTGGGCAAGTGTTCCTGTTATGTCAAACAATATTTATTAAACACTCATTCCATGCAAGGTATGAATCTGGGCACATCTTGCCATTTCCTCTTCCATAAATATTCTTCCCGCCATTCCTTCGACTTCATTTATAACAAGATACTCCCCAGCACACCAAGAAAACTGAATTAGCTCACTGACCCCTACCTCTCAGCACTCTGCTCATTGTAAGTGATAAGTAGATAAGATAAAAGTATGAAACCCAAGGAATTTGCTATCTTTAATCTTTCATGCCGAGTCTCTTGAGCTCAGGGTGTCTTAACTCCTACATTCAGCTTGGCCTTAGCTTTTTGCAGTCATCAAAAATAAATAGTTGAAATTGGCCAAAAAAAAAAAAAAGTGTGTGTGTGTGTATATTTTCATTTGCAAGGAAATTTCTAGGTCTCTGTGAATTAATTTAATATGGAGAATGTAATAAACTCAAGCTCCCTAGAGCTGATAAATTTTAGGTATTAGGCTGAGAGATTTGTGTAAAGATAGAAGATCATGTGAGGCTTTTTAATCTTTTGAATTTCATTGCTCCGATTGAAGTTATAGAAAGAGAAGTTGAGAGAAGAGAATGAGGGGATCCAATCACTTTTAGTGATTTACTTCTTTGTAATATGCCAGTTGTTGAATATAGATTAGTAATTTATCAACGTTCAGAAATTACCAAAATCAAGATTTATTGAAAATCTTTATGACTTGAAAATGAGATGTTATTTGTAAGCCTTGTTATTTCATGTCACTTTGAGAGGAGCACTTATATATGGAATCAGGTGAATTGTGTATGAACAGACCACAAAGTTGCATAAATTAGGATGCCTTCAGCTTATATTCTCCCCAAAAAGCTGTTTAACAGCAAGATTTTTATTAACTACAATAACCAGAGGTCTAGAAGCATGACAATTTTATAGCTTATTCAGTAGCTAAACAATGTCAATGAGGACCCCGAGTTTTTTGTTTGTTTTTCCTGCCTTTCCCTGTCACTATCTTCAACTTACTGACTTGTCTTTAGCTTTGAATTCTCACTGTATTATGATAGTGGCTAAAGATGTATATGCTGTCTTCGTCCAACTGTGTACAAAGTCAGAGAAGAAAAGGGGGGGCACCTGTCCTTCAGTGTCATAATTTTTCTAAAGGAGAAGAATTTTTTCAGAAGTCTTCCCAAACTTGGTCATGTACCCACGCAGAAGTGAGACCTTAGGGTTTTCAGTGTCTATTGTGAAAGATCGCTTCTTTTAGGTGTAGAGTAAAAGGAAGAGAATTGCTGACAGGGAGACAACCAACAGTTTTCCTATAATATACTCATCCACTCATCTTGATGGCAGCAAACTCATCTGATGTACTTACTACTATAGCACCTGTGTACATTTTAGGTCTTGCATAAACATATGCTAAATGAATGTATGAATGAATGAATACATACATACATACGTATATATGTACTTACAAACGTGCATAAATAAATAGATGTGTCAGGGCAGTAGATAGTGGATACTCATTTATGTAGCCCTAAAGGGTTTGTAATCACAGAAATTTATCCATGCACCATTGAAAATGAGCCCACAAAATATCTTTGGTAATATTTTGCTGAACTCTGAGAGGAGTAGTAGAAAATTCTATTTCAAGTAGTTTGCCTAAGAATCTGTTCAATTGTGAATAGATTTGATGGTTTTTAGTAAAGATAGACTTTAAAGGAGCAGTGCTTGCTGCTGAAGAACTTAAATTTTATCTTAAAAATAATGGCACTGCAAGAATGTTGATAAATTCAGTGTCCTTATTAATGTTGGAGAGATGCCTTTCAATTGGGGACGGCTGCCAGCAGCAGTAAACATTCTCCGCTAAAGAAAGAAGGGAGCTCTGCTGCCTGTTGGTTGCCCAGGACTCGAGTTACTTTTTTCCTCCTTGATTCCGCCTGGAGCTGATACTCTCTGGAATGCCTGCTCTCTGTTTTGCTGCTCTATTTTACTTTCACATATACACTTCTTTTTTTATTCTAAAAGTATTATTTTCTCATTGTAGAAAAAAAATTTTCAAAAAGTGTCAAAAACAATAAAGCCAAAAGAAAACAAAATCCTGTTACTCAGGAAAAGTATACAATATTTTGAAATATTTCATATTTCTATCTAGTTCCTTCTGTACTGGGCATAATCTGCCTTGAGATTAACATGTATGTTACTAAATATTATATATGATATATATACTCTGCTTTTTCACATAATTTTAAAACATAAAGATATCCTTTAATTATCATTTCTTCATAAAAATTTAAATGTATAGTTTCCCATAATATGTATATGCCAAAACTGACTTAACTTTTTCCTTATAGATATATGTATGTGTATTCATATGGATATGTTTGTATTACGATTTTAATTTATATTATGATGAAAAATGCTTTCATATTTTTAACTTGAGGCATAGTTTTATTGAACATGTATCTAACTGTAAAATAGTTCCCTAAAATTATCAGAATATGTATTTTTGGAGTTTAGATTTTTTTTTAACTTTATTGAGGAATAATTGACAAATATAATCATATATATTTAAAGTGTACAACATAATGATTTGACATACATAGACATTGTGGAATGCCAAGATCAAGATAACTAGCACACCTATCACCTCATATAGTTAACTCTTAATTTTGTGTGTGTGTGGTGAGAATGATTAAGATCTAAGCTCTGCTCTCTGCAACTTTGAATTATACAATACCATATTATTAACTATAGTCATGCTGTACATTTGATCTTCAAAACTTTTTTTACACTTGAAAATTTGTGCCCTTGACGTGCACACCCTCATTTCCCCTCCTCTCACCCCTCTACACCTGCCAGCCACCATTTTATTCTCTGTTTCTATGAAATCAGCCTTTTTTTTTTCCCTTTAGATTCCACATATAAGTGATAAACAGTATTTGTCTTTCTCTGTCTGGCTCATTTCACTTAGTGTAATGCTCCTCAGGTTCATCCACGTTGTTGCAAATAGCAGGATTTCCTTCTTTGTTTATGGCTGAATAATATTCCATTGTGTATATATACCACATTTTCTACACTTGATCTTAGCCAAAAGGCTGAGAAGTGATATACCACATTTTCTTTATCTATTCATCTGAAGGACATTTTGGTTGATTCTGTAACTTGGCTATTGGGAACAATGCTGCAGTGTGGAGACATCTCTTTGAGATAAGGACTTTAATTCCTTTGGATATATACCCAGAAGTGGGATTGCTGAATCATATTGTAGGTCTATTTTTTATTTTTGGAGAAATTACCATTATGTTTTCCACAATAGCTGTACCAATTTACATTCCCACCAACAATGTTTAAGTGTTCCTTTTTCTCTACATCCTTGCCAACATGTGTTATCTCTTGTCTTTTTGATAATAGCAATCCCAACAGGTGTAAGGTATACTTCGTTTTTGTGCATCTGTCTCTCATCAACTTACATTTATCTCATGCACGTATTAAACCATTTTTTAATGAACAAAAGCATGTTCAGTGCCATTAATTTGTTATAAGTGTCAATTTATCTCCAGGTAAATGAGCTCTGGCCCTAAAATGTAGGCATCTTGCAGAAGAAGTAAGAGGAGTTACTGATTTTATTTTCTTACATGATTTGACAAGCTTTAAGCTTCTAGAATGCATTCATTTGTGCATTCTGAGTCAGTCAGGACAGGCAAT